ACTGCCCAAAAATTCGCCCAAATTCCTGCCACCAAATGCCACCAAAACCACCGGACATTGGTACTGGTGGACAGCCCTCCATCCCCTCTTCAAGTAGCAACCAACACCTTCCAATTTCATCAAGTATTCTGGCCGGAATCACTCCCCAAAATTAGTAGCGGATTCGTCGCCAAATTACAGGGAAGCTATTTTCTGATTTCAATTTTCAACCTAATGAATTGACACAAAATTAAAGGAAAATTACAGCGAAATTTATGGGAACAAATCTGACCAGCGAAGCAATATCCAAGGAAAGTTCTGGTAGTCTGCAAACGGCACTCCTACGTGAATTCTCAGCCACACCGCCTTTGAAGCCCAGGCAAGAAGCGTTCAAGGCCAGGAAGATAGACCGGAGATGAACAACCTGGAGTCCTCCGGCCACACCCAACGAGGAACAGATCATTATGGTAAAGTTACTAAAATTGTGGAATCTTGAGAAATAATTGTATCTCCAGCACCTAATTCCAAAAAGTGTTCCACCAGATTTCAAGCGAAAAGATCGATACAAAGAGTAATTCCATTGATCAGTGATGAAGGAGAAGAGAGAGAGACTGTGTCCCCGATTTTCTGTTTTCTTCTCCACGAATGAGTGATGAAGGAATATTGAATTTTCAATTCATTTCTAATTATGTGGGACTGTGGGAGTGGGATAATCCAATTGTTAATTAATAAAGTATTAATAAATAGTTATTAATAAATAGTTAAATAAGATTTAAGTTCTCGCTATTTATTTAGTTTCAAAACGCTTAATCCCATTTTTATCTTTATTTTTTTAAGGTAAAAAATCTATTTTTTTTTATGATATAGTAAAAAATCTATTTTTTTATATAAAAATATATTTAATTCTTAAAAATAATTAAAATAATATTAAAAATACGAAACGCGTTATGACGCTTATTCTTCGCATTGACACGCCTAAACTTGTGATTCTTGATTCTCGACCTCGACGCTTCGTAACGCATTACGCATTTTAGAATATTGCTCCTGCCCTAATAGCTAAAAGTGTCAACCTGCTTTCTATGTCCAGTTTTTTGGTAGTGATTGAGCGTGAAGATGTGGTC